GGGCTAATTGGGTGCTGAGTGCATCTGTTCCTCTGGCTTACGAAGGAGAAGAAAATATGAGAAATAACAGCTCAGACAAGAGCTGGACTCAGCACAGTCCCTTGTCTTGATGTCTGGGGCATTAGTTCAGGGTGTTTCTCCAAAGTCTGCATTTCTCCTTCAGCGTCAACTCTGCCACTACTCTCTGTGTCCTTCAAGGCTACATGTTTTCCCAACACTGTAGCAGGTGCAGTCAAAACCAAACTGGACTATAAATGCTGTAAGGACAAAGGACACATGTGCTGTGTTCTCTGTTGTGACCTCAGTGCCTAGCACAGGGTCTGCCACGAAATAAGCATTTAATTAATTATTTGCTGAGTCAATCAATCAATCAATTAATACATCCTAGGAAAACAAACGGTTTCTATATAAAAAGAAAATATGTGTTTTACAATAGCAAGACAAACTAGTTAGTATATTGTCAATCATTAATAGCTTTAAACAACACACACACACACACACAAATCCCATTTCTGGGTGTGGGAAACATACAACAATGTTCCAAACACTGAAAAAGATTTAGGAACCACCTTCTGAGTCAGAGGTTGCTGCCCTGCACGCTCCTATTTCAGTACATTCGCAGCACTTGTAACCAAGTTCCCAGTGTTTGAAAGCATGTTCCAACCACATTCCTGTTTGCTAAACTGCTAAGCCACATTGGCCTCTGATTTGCTGGCTCAGTGATTACTCAAACTCTGTCTCACTCAGTTTTCTCACCTGTAAAAGTAGTTATAATAACAACACCCACTTTAAGAGGTTCTTAGGAGGATTAAATAAGTGCTTTCATTAAAAATGCATAGAACAGTATCTGGCATATGGTAAACTGTTGAAACCTTAGCTACTGTGGTTACCTGACTTCTGAGCAATGGTAGAATGAACAAGATGACATGAATTTTTCTCTGCTCTAAATCCCATCAAATTGTTCTGTCATTTCTCAGTAATAGGTGTGACTAAAACTAGTAACAATAACTTTACCCATTTTAGAGCTTCAGTTCTTCACATCAGAGAAACCAAATTAATAAGCGTCTCTCCTTTCACTAGCACACCTCCAACCCACCCACCACTACCTCACCAGCGCTTGTTTCAGAAACAAACTGTCAGCAGAGCACTGTGGTCTGCACCTTCGCCTGTAGTCTCAGCTACCCCAGAGGGTCAGGTGGCAGGATCACTTGGAGCCCAGGAGTTCAGGGCTGTAGCGCACTATGATCACAACACTGCACTTGAGCTTGGGTGACATGAGGAGATCCCATCTCTGAGGGGGGAAAAAAAGAAAGAAAAATGAGGAGGAGGAAAAAAAGAAAGAAGAAAAAGAAAGAAAAAAGAAGGAAGGGAGGGAGGAAGGAAGGAAGAGGGAGGAGGAGGAGGGAGGAGAGGAGAAGGAAGGGGAAGGAAGGAAGGAAGGAAGGAAGGAAGGAGAAGGAAGGAGAAGGAAGGAAGGAAGGAAGGAAGGAAGGAAGGAAGGAAGGAAGGAAGGTCTCTATGAATAAGACTCAAGGAAAAGCCAGCCCTCCCAGGCAGCCCCCTCTATCCTCTGCGTCCCACTGTGGGTCTAGCTGGTAGAAGAAGTGTGTGGTCCTGGGACCAGACTCATTCCACATGGCACTAGGAGAAAGCTGCTCTGAGCACCATCCCTTCAGACCCTCTCCCCCAAGCCTCAGAAGTTCCCTAGAGGGCAGCCTCCTATGCTTAGGCTGGGAGGGCTTCCATCTGATAAGAAAGAAAAATGGGAACAGACAGATGCAAGTAAAGATGCACAACTTCCACGAGACATCACTCACAGCAGCCCTGGAGGAGGCACAACCCTTCAGCCTCTGTGGAGCCAGACTGCTGGGAGCTGAAGCCCTCAGTGTGTGCCCTCTCTTTTTAGGAGCACAGAAATAAAAATAACACTCAGAGGGCCAACAGACTCAACCCAAATCAAAGGAGCTTACACAGCCACTAAAAGTGGAAATATATACTTTGTTCTGGCTTTTGGAAACATATAAGTGGACAGGAAGTGAAGAGATGGAGTGAAGAGCTTTGTGACTCTGTGAGTAGCTTCCATGATCTGCAGATTACCTGGCGGGCTCTGTTCTGATTGAGTCTTGAGAGAAGCTTTACTGATAGCCCAAACCAATCCATTTTTGTGAAAAGCAGCACTGTCTGTTCCCTGAAATGTGGGTTTTACTGTTATAGCCCTATGTGTATGTGTGTGTGAGAGAGAGACAGAGACAGACACAGAGAGAGAGAGAGAGAGAGAGAGAGACAGAGAGACAGAGAGACAGAGAGACAGAGAGACAGAGAGGAGACAGAGAGGAATAGAGACGCAGAAAAAAACTTCGCTAGATCTGTTAGCAAGGCAGCTTGCCAAATTAAACATAGAATTAGCTACTGAGGAATATTTAAAATTTAAATGTGGACTTAATAAAACAAAACTTGATTAAACACATTCCTGTGAGAAGTCTTGGTTTTAGCTTTTAGGACTAATAAAGAGGACCTGAGACTGATGCTGTCCATGACATGGTTTTGGTTGGAAAAAAAAAAATCATCAAAGTGCTGCGATGCATAAATTCTCATTGATAAATGTGTGTTCGTTTCCTAGGGCTGCCCAAGGAAGCCAGACGACATGCCACACACTGGGTGGCCTAAGCAACAGAGGTGTATTGCCTCACAGTTCCTAAGGCTGGAAGTGTGAAGCTGGGATGTCAGCAGGATGGCTCCTTCTGAAGGCTGAGGGAGGCTGTGTTCCATGCATCTCTCCCAGCTTCTCTGGCCTCAGGGGTTCTTTGGCTGTAGGTGGTGCTCTCTCTGTGCCGTTACATCATCCTCCCCATACCTGTTTGCCTATGTCCAAATTTCCCCTTTTTACAAGGACACCAGTCACATTGGATTACAGCCCGCCTTAAAGACTTCACCTCAATTTGGTCATCCGCAAAGAGCTTATCTCCAAATAAGGTCACATTCACAAGTACCAGAAATTAAGGTCTCAGAATCTTTTTGGTGGACACAATTCAACTCGTGACAAACCGAAGGCCTCATTTATAGTCTTCAAATCAAACAACTTCCTCAAGTGAGCAGTGCCTAAGACACATTTATCCTACAGAAACTTATTTAATCAAATATTGCATGTTACACAAAATTTTGTGATGATTTTTTTTTTTTTTTGCAGAGCAGAGTATTGTAATATGTTGGTCAATTTAGAAATTTTACAAACTTTCTCAGATATCATCTGTTTTAAATTTGTATGGCTGCTGTATCAAATTACCATGAATTTGGTGACTTAAAACAACATAAGATTATTCTCTTACAGTTCTGGAGACCAGAGTCTGCCGTGGGTTTCACTGGGGTGAAATCAAGGTGTTGGCATGGCCACATGCTCTATAGAAGCTTTAGTAGAGAATCCATTTCTTTGCCTTTTTTTACAGCTTCAAGCAGCCACTTACACTTCTTGGCTTGTGGCCCCGTCCTCCATCTTCAAATTGCATCACTCCAATCTCTGTTTCTAGTATCACAACACCTTCTCTTCTGCATTAAAGCTTCCCTCTACCTCCCTCCAATAAGGAAGGACACTTGTGATTACATTTAGGGTTCACCCAGATAATCCAATATAATCTCCCACCTCGAGATCTTTAATTGACCCACCCCTGTGAAGTCCCTTTTGCCATATAAAACAGCATTCCTAGGTTCCAGCTATTAGCAACTGAATATCTTTGTAGGTCATTAGTGAGCCTACCAAATCACCCATCCTAGATCAACTCAAATTACAGTCTACCTCATTTTCACAAAGGAAAGGCTTTCCCTTAAAACAGCATTAGTTTGCTAGATATTTCCTCAAATTTCTCCCCATTTTTCTTCTCAGACACAGGTTCCTGCATTCAACATCTTATCGAAGAAGAGTCTGATTTCAAGTACAGGTTTACCCCATTGAGCAGTGCATGGAGATGTCTGAATATAAGAATATTTGCAATTACTATTAGTCTTCAATTCTGCAGACACTCCTTGATTTGTTATGCATTTCCAGTTTTACAAAATATGCACTATCTGTTTTCTGCAAGATTTTGAGAATGCGGCAAAGTTCTCTTGGCAAATCAAATAATTTTAAGTCTTAAAAATTAGGGGAGTTAAGCACCTCTTCTCTTAAATTTATTCCTTAATGATTGTAAGTGATTTTACATGAACTCTGAGCATGTCCCTAACATAATGAAGAAGAGGATAAATTGCCACATTTGCCACTTTAGAAAACACTGCCTCCTGCTCTCTCCATGGAGAAAGTCTACCCTGTGACCTGCTTTTGACATGGATGTCCCTGGAAGTGGCAGTGTAACAGTTCTGAGTTTAAGCTACTGACAGGAGTAATATGGTTCCACTAGCTCCCCTGGGAGCATTCTGACTTCATCTTGAGAATGAACTACTCTAGAAAACTACCACAACTCCAACCTGGGCCCAGGATGGGACCTGCAGGGCAGCCACATTGCAGAACCTCTAAGCATGAGAATGAGAGCTTATTCTTATAAGCTACTATGTATATAGTTACACCACATTTATAGCAATAGTGAACTAACATGTCCACTGATTGTGATTATTATATACAGTATGATCCCAATTATGTACAAAAATCATAGAAAAAAGATGATGGTAATTAAATAGGGTGCAGAGAGATGTATGCACATGATGGATAGTAATTTTGAAAGGATAGGTGAGGTTCATTTTTAAAATTTCTTTCTCTGCAATATGCTAGCTAATTAGGATAAAAATGTATTTTTATTTTAAAAATCAGGTGTTCTTTCTTCTTTATCAGCTGAGAGATTATTTTGTGTGATACATTTTCAAATAATATAAATAAGAACTTCAGAGAGATTGCCCTCACAATCGTTTTTATTTTTAAATAACTGATTTTAAACATCTATTACAACATTCCTACAGAAAGTAAAAGAACTGATTTTTCAATCACAATTATATATTTTTTCTTTTTCTTACTTAGAAGCTGAGAGTGAAAAATAACTGCACATTTGAGATCAAGGCTCTGAAACTGTCTTGCCATATATCTTCACATTCAGAAAATGAAGGGCTGTCTTAGTCTGTTTGTGCTACTACTATACCATACCTGAAAATGTAATTTGTACAGAACAGAAATTTATTTCTCGCAGTTCTGGAAGCTGGGAAGTCCAAGATGAAGGTGTGGGCAGGCTTTCTAGACGACAACTTGCTTTTGCTTCCTCCTGAGGGGATGAATATTGTGTCTTCTTGTGGCAGAAGAGAAAGAAGGGGGAACTCACCTCCTCAAGCCCTTTTATAAAGGCCCTAATACCATCCCAGAAGGCTCTGCCCTCATGACTTAGTCGCCTCCTAAAGGCTCCACTTCTTAATACCACCGCATTAGGTTTCAGCATATGAATTTGGGGGGACACATTCAGACCACAGCAGGGGGTTTTGGTTTTCTTAATATCCAGGAGCAGGAGAGAAAGGAGATGAATTATCTCAAGTCACTTTTCAAAATTATTTTGGAAATAATTATTTTTTCTTAGTAGAGATGATCCTAGAAATTTTCATTCTTAAAAACTCATGAAGTGATTATAATATCACACTATTCTTCAAATAGAAGCTTGGAAGCCATTCTAGAAAAAATAGATTAAATCTGAATTTACCAAATTGCAGATTAACTTTGGTGAATTTTTTAAAATACAAATGTTTACAATTAATATCCCTTTCCATTCAAATAATGGAAAAGTATTCAGGAACTGTAAGAATAAACCTGAAAAACTGCATTGAGGGAAAGTGAGGGGACACACAAATGGTGACACATTCCTCAATGGGAATAATTAATATTAAATATAATAAAGAACACAACTCTCCCCTGATTAGTCTGCACCCTTCAGGTATTTCCATTCCAATTTAAATATATTTTTGAATAACTTTCATATGTGTTTTGAAATTACTAGATCTAACTCACATGTATTTTATTCTTTATCTTTAAATTTTTACCTTTCTCTCTTTCACCTGAATTAGGGATGATTATTCAAGCTTGCTAAATCAGTCAGCTTAGGCTACTCTATATTACAATGACAAACAATCCCAATATTTTGGTGCTTATAACAAGAAAGGATTATTTTTTCTCATGCTGTATGGGCATTACAGTTACCTGAGGCCACTCCTCATTATCTATAGACAAGGACCACATTTCTGGTATGTCAGGTGTCAGCCGTTTTGTGTTCTACTGACTGTGTGTAATTTATCTCTGTTATATATGTAGGGTCTTTTCAGCAGGACATTAGAACTAAGAAGGAAACAAAAGTTTGAGCTTTGTTTTGGTCTTAATTATCATGTTGATTATCATCTAAGAGAATAAATCCAAAGAATATTTAATCCAAGAAGCTAAAAATAAAATTCTCAAACTGAAACAAATTGGGGGGAAGAAACATTACAATTGATATGTAAACTGAGGGTTTTTTTCCTTTTAAAATACCAATAAAATGTGTAAAATCAAACAATTCTGATAAAAGTAAAATGAAATAAAACAGGAATACACACATTTTTAGAATGACAAAATAGGTATATTCTCAGATATGGAGAACATTTTTAATTCTACACTATTTAAAATATTTAATAACATTGAAAAATGTAGGAGGCATTTCAATTTGTTTTATTAGACTAGCATAACCCTGATAATAAAATTTGACAAATAGAGCACTAAGAAATAATTTACAGACCAATCTTTCTACTGAATGTAAAGGGCACATGAAATGATTAAAATTGTAGACTTAGAAGTTAAATAGACATATATTTAAATTCTTGCTCTGTTGTAAAACAAATTGTGACTTGGACACTTGACCATTCTAAATTCTTTTTCTAAAGTGGAATAATAATACTTACCTTAAGAATAATTGTGAAGATTAAACAATGATGTAAATAAATTCTAAAATATTGCATGCATTCACCTTATGTCCAATAAGTATACAATGAGGAGGGTGGTGAAAATGCTTCAACATCAAAAACCAAGGTTTAGAAAACTGAATCTTGGAATATATTATAAAATAGAGTCAAAGAAGTCATATGGAATTTATTCTATAAATGCAAGTGGAGTTTAATACTAGAAATATATTTATTTAATTCATTACATTATAGCTTAAAAAGAAAAAATTCATGAAAATCTCAATAGATGCTACAAAAGCACTTGGTAAATTTCAACATCCATTCCTAACTAAAATGAAAAAAATATTAATATCTTTCCATTCAAATAATGGAAAAGTATTCAGGAACTGTAAGAATAAACCTGAAAAACTGCATTGAGGGAAAGTGAGGGACACACAAATGGTGACACATTCCTCAATGGGAATAATTAATATTAAATATAATAAAGAACACACTCTCCCTGATTAGTCTGCACCCTTCAGGTATTTCCATTCCAATTTAATATATTTTTGAATAACTTTCATATGTGTTTTGAAATTACTAGATCTAACTCACATGTATTTTATTCTTTATCTTTAAATTTTTACCTTTCTCTCTTTCCACCTGAATTAGGGATGATTATTCAAGCTTGCTAAATCAGTCAGCTTAGGCTACTCTATATACAATGACAAACAATCCAATATTTGGTGCTTATAACAAGAAAGGATTATTTTTTCTCATGCTGTATGGGCATTACAGTTACCTGAGGCCACTCCTCATTATCTATAGACAAGGACCACATTTCTGGTATGTCAGGTTGCAGCCGTTTTGTGTTCTACTGACTGTGTGTATTTATCTCTGTTATATATGTAGGGTCTTTTCAGCAGGACATTAGAACTAAGAAGGAAACAAAAGTTTGAGCTTTGTTATAGTCTTAATTTCATC